GTAGATCTCTTATCTTTAATGAAGATGACTTTCCTTGTTTTAGTGACAAATCTGGAGAAGAATTAGGAAAGGATAACTTTGTTGTCACTGAAATTAACCTGAATAGGGAGATTTTGAATAACTAGCCTCAGTTTGAGGTGGAGCCACAAGAAATAGAACCTCAAAATGTGTCTGATGTTGAAATACTGGAAGATGAATAGCATCTAGAGCTTGCACATGACCTGCAGAACTACCGGCTTGCTAGGGATAGAGAAAGGAGGCAAATAAGACCTCCTTCCAGATATCAGTATGCTGACTTTGTGTCTGACCAGTCTGAACCTGATCTGTTTGACATAGAACTTACCTCTTATGAAGAGGCTATTTCTTCCAAAAAATTTCCTAAGTGGATTGCTGCAATGGAAAATGAGATGAACTCCCTATATAAGAATAAAACTTGGATTTTAGTTGAGAAACTCAAAGATTGTAAATTGATTTATTGTAAATGGGTATATAAGATCAAAGAAGGTGAGATTAAGACAAATGATAAAAGGTATAAGGCAAGACTTGTAGCTAAAAGTTTTAATCAAAGAGAAGGTATAGACTACACTGAAATTTTTTCACCTGTAGTTAAATATACATCTATTAGAGTCCTTCTTGCGATTGTGACACAATTTGACTTAGAGTTAGAATAATTTGATGTGAAAACTGCCTTCTTGTATGGTTCATTAGACGAAACCATACATATGACTCAACCAAGAGGGTTTGAAGTAAAAAGGAAAGGGAACTTAGTATGTCTCTTGAAAAAATCTTTGTATAGCTTGAAACAGGCTTCTAGGAAATGGTATAAAAGATTTGATTCTTTTATACAAAGTTTGGGTTTTAAGAAATCAGAATATGATCCATGTTTTTACTATAAAAGAGATGGTGAATCTGAATTTTTTTTTATCTTTTCTTATATGTTGATGATATGCTCATTGCTGGTCATAATTATGTTGCACTTTACTCAATTAAAGAAAAATTAAAATCAGAATTTGAAATGAAAGATTTAGGAACAGCTAGAAAAAATTGGGGCATGGAAATAAAAAGGGATAGAATAAATAAAAAGTTTTTTTAACACAAAAATCTTATGTTGATAAGGTAGTCAAAAGATTTTCCCTTCATGATACAAAGCCTGTTAGTCTGCCTTTGTATGTCAGCATGAAATTTTCTGTTGATCAATCACGTAAAACTGAAAATGAATATAGAAGAATGATGAATGTACCGTATTCTAATGCAGTAGGATCTGTAATGTATGTTATGGTATAAGCTAGACCTGATATTGCTTATGCTGTGAATGTGCTAAGCAAATTTATGAGTAATCTAGGTGAATTACACTGGCAATGTATGAAAAATCTGATTAAGTATCTGAAAAGGACTAGTCATTTAGGATTAATGTTCAAAATTGATAAGAATGGACTTAAACCAAAAGGCTACATAGATTCAGATTTTGCTGGAAATCCAGATAATAGAAAATCCACAACTGTATATTTTTATGTCATTAATGATACACACATCAACTAGAAGTCCCAACTTCAGAAACTAGTTGCATCGTCTTCAATCGAGGCCGAATGCATTGCTGCAACTGAAGTAGTTAAAGAGGGATTACAGACGAAGGGTTTACTTGGTGAATTAGGTCTAATAGAAAATTAGGTGTGGAGCTGTGTTCAGGCAACCAAAGTGCAATCTTCTTAAGTAAAAATCATATTTTACATGATAGATTCAAGCATATAGATGTTAAGTTCCATTTTATTAGAGATATCATTGATAGGGGAGATATTAAATTGATCAAAATTCCTACTAAGGTTAATCCTGCAGATGCTGGAACGAGGGTAATCCCTATTAGTAAATTTTTTGATTCTTTGAGATTTATTAATCTTGAAGAGTACTAACTTTATTTTCTTTGCAGGTGAATAAAGCAAGTGAAGTTAGACTAAATTTCAAATCCACTTATGTACTTTCACAAAATGCAGCAAAAGGTGGAGATTGTAATGTTTGGTTTACTGAATTTTGTGTGGCCCAGCTAATAAAAAATGGACCGAGATGTATGGCCCAAGCTTGGAGGCCCAATTTGGTGATCCAGTAAGGAAAAATCTCTAGAATATTGAAACCGGCTCTTGAAATGAAAGAACTGAAACATGTTTTTCTCTTATCAAATGACACTTCTTCCAGATTTATGACGCGTGGCAAGTGATGGACCGTTGGATGACCAAAAATCTGTCGCTCTCATATAAAATGAATGTGAGAAGCCTTTAGGGTTTCAGACGATTTTGAGCAGCTTCTATATTCTTCAAGTTTTTCATCTTCTCTGTTTTTCGATTATTCTCTCTTAGATTTTGTGTGATTTGTTGAGAGAAATAGAAATTAGATGAACTCTTGTATGAGTTCATTATGCTGTGAGAAGTTTTGTGGTGATTGAGAATCTAGAACTGTGTGTTCTATGTAACTCGAACTCTTTGCCTATTTTGGGCAATATATAGTGGATTTTGAGCTTAATCCTAACGGATACTCAACAGGGATTAAGCGTTTAAAGCGGTCGTTGAACATCGGGGCCTTTGGGCCGAAAAATCTTGTGTTTTCTGATCTTGTTATTTTTTTTTGTTGTGTTCAATTTATAAACTACAACACATATAATTTTTCTAAGTATTACAACATGCAACCAGTGGTTAGCAGCCATGGCAAATTTGCATTCTCATTGCTTGCTTATTATTCCCAAATCTGAGCCTTTATTCGTTTTTCAATTTCCTTCCAAAATTTTCTATTTTTAAACAGTTTAAATTTAGGATTTTTAAACAATTGTGTAACTTATAAATTTGGACAATTTATTTGGGGGGATATTTAATTGTCCAATTAATTAAACCCTTGTTTGGGAAATAATGCATTTTGAATGGTAGATTAATAGAGAATGTATGGTTAAAAATTAAAGAAAAATTTTGAATTTACGTGTAATATTATTTTATTGAAGAATGTGTGGTTGAAAAAGAGTTTTGGAAAAATGAATTTTCAGAAAATAGAAATCAAACAGGTGCTAAGAAGCTAATGGAAAAGCCAGATCAGTTTGGATCGATATCTATGGGTAAGCAGATTTCTGTAGGGTAGAGTTCAAATTATAAACTGAAAAAATTACAATTCTTTGAAAAATCTCTAAATAATCAAATTAAAATTAATTTTCAAAATTATGCGAAATCCAAAAAATAAAAATAAAAAATAGTCCAACCGAATATGCGAAAAATCCCAAAAATTAAGATGAAAACTTAGATATGTGAATAAAGACTCAAATAAAATAAACATAACAAAAGATATTTCTTCCCAGAAATTCTTTTTTCAACAAGAAAAAGCTAATAAAAAATGGACCGAGATGTATGGCCCAAGCTTGGAGGCCCAATTTGGTGATCCAGTAAGGAAAAATCTCTAGAATATTGAAACCGGCTCTTGAAATGAAAGAACTGAAACATGTTTTTCTCTTATCAAATGACACTTCTTATTGTCATAATTAAAACTATAAAGGCGCTTTAGAGAATAAATTGAGGCCCAGATGTGTGAGAAATAAGCAGACAAGGAGAAACTGACCTTGCTATGGCTGCAGACCCCTGGTTCCATCTCACAGAGCCATCCAGGGTTGCCATGCCAAGATACGAGTCAAATAATCTCAATACCCGATCCATTAACTCAGAAGCAAAAAGAGGAAAATCATCACAACCCCATAGCAGAAGGGATAATTACAAAACAATGCTAAACAAGCCCTTAACTTTCAAGCTTTAGCCAAGTAATTAAGCCCCCATTTGGTTTATCATAAATCATTTATAAACGATCAAGCCATCAGTTTTCTTCCTGGCTTTTCTTTTTGTTTAAGGACTGTTTGTTTCTAAAAATGGAGAAATCATTGGGTAAACAGAGAGGGTTAACCACCCTTGAAGAAATCACAAATCTGTCTCAAACCCTAATTTTCTGAATCTGAGCTAATGGAATGGTACTCTATTGGTGAAGCAGCAGGCCTAATTTGTAGTGCTCCACATTTCCTTTCTTGCCCATCTTCACTTGTTCTTAGCTAGGTTACAGTGATAAATAGTTAACCAGAGGTCTTTTGCCGCCTCTCTTTATCCCATGCTGGGTCTAGATAAAGATTTTGATCCAAAAGTTTATCATATGTCTGGTTAAAAAGTTATAAAAATATGTTTTTAAATTAATTGTTGATTTTGACTTAAATTTTAAGCCTCGATTTGACAATAATTCTTCCACAAGAGTGAGTTTTTAAGTAGTAAATTTTTGAAGAATATGTGATTAAAAAATAGAAAAAATTGAATTTACATACAAAATATTTTATTGTGAAAATATAAGGTTGAAAATAGGTATGAAAACAAAATGAGTTTCGAAAGAAGAGATGTACCATATGTACAAGAAATTAGCTAGGACAGAAAACTATTTTCTATCCGGGCCAATGCCAAGGAGACAAGTGCCTCTTAGTGGATTTATCCTTGAAACTATGATTGTCGAACAAAGGCTAATATTAATTTCTACAGAATACTAGCGTTGTAGGACAGAAAACTATTTTCTATCCTAGCCAATGCCAACGAGATCCTTGAAAGAATGATTGTCTAACAAATGCTAATATCAATTTGTAGAGATTACTAGCGGTGAGTAATTGGCTAATTAGAAAAAAAATAGTTCCTACCTTTTTTCTAGCATTTTCACCTTTTATTGCGAAAATGGTTCTTCCATCCACCTACCATCAGTTGCTTTGTTAACTGATGCAAACCCATGTAGCAGTTGTAATTATGAATCCTACAACAAATGAGATTAAATCTAAGAAAGCCAATAATCAACGTTTAAAAGCTCGACCAGAAAAATTATTGAATCAAAGATCTAAGAAATTTGAAATCAATATCTTGACCTCGTGATCACAAAATATATGAACCTCACTTGAATTGTTGAACATTACGAGAAATCAATTCTTAATAAAATAGAGTTTAGTTCGATGAAGAACAAGTTGAAAGCAATATGTCTCACAATAATATCTCAATAATTGTGTATTTTTACAATGAAAAGGATGAATCATATCGAAAAATAGACATAAAGGAAAAATATAAAAAAACGCATCTAGAAGATGAACTGCACGACTGCATTGTTATAACTACATCAACCGCATAGAACAACCAATATTTCACCCTCTTGTTTTGGGAATAGTACATGCGACAGCATCTCCTTCTGTATTACGAGATAGTATAGTTATCCAACTGGCTTCTAATTTTGTTTTCTTGATTCCAATGCATCCAACTTGTTTTTCGCTTTCAAGCCCAACATGAAACCTAATGTTTGGCTTATTAACTTCAAACTCTTTAGTCTCCATAATTTGAGCAAGTAAATGCATGGCTTCATTGATCCTATTTACTTGCAATCTCGTCATTGATTCCTCTTCAAGTTGAACCTGAACTTCGTATGATTGTGGCCTTACTTGGATCGTATCATTACATTCTTTTTCAAAAGGATACAACCTCGAATTTGTATCTGCATAAAACGGAGCAAGATAAGAAACATCGAAGCAAATGTAAATTATTACAAACTTGCCTTGAAGATCCAAGTTGTAGCTATTGTTTTCAATCCTTTCAATGACGTGGAATGGTCCATCCCCTCTAGGATGAAACCGTTGACCTTCTTTTGCATTTGAACATGCCATTTTTGCCTAAGCATCCAAACCCTATCACCAAGTTCAAATAAGTTACGCATCTTTCTTTTGCTTCCTTGAGATGTATATAATTCAATCATTTGCTTTCAACCTAAACGATCACTCACAATAATGAATTAAATCAAACAAAGTTAGCGAATTTGAACAATAAATCATATCAAAACATGTAGTAGAAGTAGTAAATGATACTAAATTGGTTCCCAACACATTATATAAATCCGAACCAAAACAATTAAGGACTTCAGGATTAAAATATAGATCCTTATGTCTCAAATCGCCAACAATACACCCTAATTGTTTATCATGCTCAATTAATTTCTTGCAACATACTAGAATATTATAAACTAATAAATGATTGCCTATAAATGCATGTGGCATATGATTTATTAATTGTTTAAATTTACTAGATGTATTAGTGAATGGAAAAGTACATGTCCCATATGATAAATCAAAATTCTTTTTAAGCGCTAGATTATCATCTATCTTAAGTATGGGACAATGAGATTTTACCATGCTATCGTTGAACGCTCCTCATTCAGCACTCATCGAATCATCCACTTCCAATGAATCAATTTGATACTCAATGGGTGATATCCACTTGCATCATTATCAATTCCACTACCCGCTTCATTTTTACCACCAATATCCGCTCTTGCCTACTTGTCTCCTTGCTTTAGGAATTTCTCTAGATTGTTCCCTATGTGAATGAGCAAACATTGTTTTTTAGCTCTCCATTCAAACCTCTTTGCCTATCTATCCTATATCCCATATCCCTAAGCAACCTGTCAAATCGCCGTACATTTTTTCCATCATAAAGACCCGATTACTCTCCCCGCTTGAAGTAAAATCTTATGTGTTAGACATTCTAAAACTAGAATAATATTTGCCTGGTACGTGGAGTTCAAACGAAGAATTGAGTAAAGGAATTGGCTCTAGAATGACTTAAAAAAGTAGGAATGTGACACTTTGAATGGAAAAACTAAGGATAAATTCAAGAGAATATTTTCTGAATTCGAATACACTTTGACTTCGAAAATTGATATTTTTTTTTTTTGAGCCTATGCTTTTAAACTAACTGATGCGAACTCACATAGAATTTGTAGCTACAAACTCACAAAGATTAGTTCAAACCCAAGAGAGCCGAGAACCAACGTTTGGAAGCACGACCCAATAAATTATCGAACCACATAATCAAGACAATTGAAATCAATATCTTAACCTCGTGATGGTAAAATATATGAACCTCACTTAAATTGTTAAATGCCACAGTAAATCAACAATTGATAAGTTGGAGTTTAGTTTGATATAAAAACAAGTTGTAAGCAATATCCTTCGAAATAATATTTCAATAATTGA